CAACTGGAAGAAGGATTTTTATAATGGATGTTTAAACTAGCTATGGCCGAAATATAGAATTCGATCGGATATGTCAATCCTGCACTATCTGGTGTACAAATTGTGCCGCGGCTAGAATGGGAATTTTCGATTATCACTTTGTGAAGTGAGTTATGCCTTCGATCTCTGCGGAGGGTCTAATTGATAATATAACCGCCATCAACAACCAAAGCATGGCCCTGGACGAAGGAGGCGAAAGTCGAACATAGAAAGAGAACCGCATCGGCAACCTCTTCTGGCTTGCCCATTCGCTTCATCGGCGCAATATCCACTGCAGGCTGCAACCGCGCCCGTACCTCCTCATTGCTGGTTGTCATTGGGGTCTCAATGACCCCCGGACAGACACAATTCACGCGGATGCCGTCCGCAGAATAATCTATTGCATCGGCTCGAGTCATGCCGATAATGGCGGCCTTGGAGGCGCAGTATGCGGCTGTTGTTTTTAAAGAGTGTCAGCAAAGGCTCAACCGATAAAGCTGAAGAGACAGGAGCGCTTACGAGCCCCGGGACGCGAGACAATCCCCAGCTGACTGGCGATATTGACAATACTCCCCCGTTGCGGCTCACGCCCCGGATCATGGCTCGGTAGTGGATCCTGTTTGAGCATCTGTTTCAGCTCTGCTCTGGACGACAGCCAGCAACCCCTGTAATTGATATTGGTAATCCGGTCAAAGATCTCCGTGCTGGTCTCTGTTGAGCGGAGCGAGTCCCCAAGTATCCCGACGCAGTTCACTGCATAATCGAGACGACCAAATGTGCTCACCACTTCATTCATGAAGGACTCGACGAACCGTTCGTCGGCCATGTTTCCTGCTCTCGCTACCAGACGGATGTTGGGGTGGAAAAAGAGAATAGCATCTCGGGTCTTTTCCAGGGAGGATTCGTTGATGTCTGTTATGGCTACTCGCTCGCATCCTGCAGAGGCAAAGGCTTTTGCAACCGCTGCACCAATCCCTAGAAAATGTTAGCAACAAGGGATTGCCTTCTCTGAAGACTTGCACGAGGTCCGAGGTGGAGTGTACCTGTTCCGCCGGCCCCCGTGATGACTGCAACACCGGGAAATGAATAAGCTCGCACCATAGTTCTGGTGAGATAGTATAGTATCTATCTCAGTGCGTCGACGGACGTGAGATCGCTCAAGCCAGAATTGACACCCGAACCCAAGGATATCCTGCTGGCTAGCATTGGTTGAAGATAACAACGGTCTCAACGTGATAACTTGATGCTTATCGTGTGAGCGGGGTACGTACATACTGTATCGGTTGGGGTCATATCGGTTATCTAATCTACCCCGCCCAACGGTTGGAGTCAGTCACGGATTCCTCTCCCCCTCGACTTTTGCCGGTCGCACTTTTCCCTTCTCCGAGTCCACTTTCTCAGCCCAGCTGCTCGTCTCCAAGTTCCCAAGTGGAGAGATCTTCCTTCTTTAGTATCAATCCGAGAGTTGCGATGCACCCCAAATGTCTTGATGCTGTCACAGTCATCGCAACCCACACGCGGCCCTCGTCGCTCGAGCGTTGGAGCAAAGACTCGCGTATGCGTCCACTGCGGACGGAACTTTAGGAGAACAGAGCATCTCGAGCGGCATATCCGTACTCGTAAGTGCCTCTCCACTCCTCTCCAAGAAGCATTCGCTTTTTTGTCTATCAGCAAGTATACTGTAGACATGTCTTGCTGATGGCTCTGCCCAGATACGAAAGAGAAGCCGTTCGTCTGTTTCTGTGGGGCGGCTTTTACACGCCGTGACCTCCTCAAGCGGCATACACGTATCTTGCATCAAGACAATGGCCTCGCTTCCCCTAACTCTCAACCTGAACAGGGAGCCAAGGATCAGGCTCAGCCAGTAGGTGTTCAAGTGCCCAAGCAGGCTGAACCCCATATTGCCCAAGAGAATCATGATGCACAACCGATGCCGCGGGCAGAGGTTCCTCTCCCTGTAACCTCTACTTTAGGGCAATGGCCCGGCGCCCCTCCTGGATCGTATCTGGCAGACGAGCAAAACATGCTCCACGACCGTGGTAACAATACAGGCTTGGAGACGCATCCCGCAGTGGCTCATGATGCGGATATTCTTCAGGCTGCACAGCTACTCCTACCGGGTACCTATCGAGACAATCAACCCGTTGGTAGGGCAATCGGGCGTCATATTGATCAATCGTTGGATTGCTAATTGCTCTTAGCGCAACCATTGCCGTACCTGCCTGAAGAGCTGAATCATTTTCAGGATTTTACTCATTTCCTGGACTCAATCGGTTTGCCGGCGGAATGGGTTCCCACCGTAGGCGAGACCTCACAGGTTCATAGCGCAGTGCCTGCTGAAGTGCCCGATCCTGGCCGAGCAATGAGAGAGCAGCCTAGCTCAAATCGTCGAGGCCAGATGAGGGGATCCCGCGATGACTCGCCATTCAGATCTTGGCTACCATCGGTACCGCCAGGAGATCAGAGTCTCGGAACGGTATCCGATCATGGTATGTTACCTGGGAACCCTGAAAAGGAGTGGTTGTGTCTGACGTACAGATCAGAACCTCCTCAAACCGCAACGAATTATTCACCTCTCAAGGTGAGCGAAGAACAAAGGTTACGGCTCGCGACCTCTCTAGAGGAGTTCCGCCACTTGATTCCCGACTTTGTTTTGCCGTCTCGGCACACGCTGACGAGGTACTTGACCTCGTTCTTCGAGGGCTTCCATACACATTTACCTTTCATACACCTTCCCACACTACGGATCAATGAACGCGCGCCAGAGTTGATATTAGCCTTCTTGACAGTGGGTGCTCAGTATCGGCTTGAGCACCGGAACGCCGAAAGGCTTTTCTACGCCTCGAAGGCGATCTTACTCCACAGGCTCTCCAAGGAGGCGCAGCCCTCAACTGGAGGGTCGTACAGCAATTCCATCCAGATGCCGCTCTCTAGTGTTCCGGGGGCTTTTCATCAACAGGCGCCCTCTTCGATTCCTCTCCCTCTAGGCAATGCTCCCGGATGGAGTGCATGGAGACAGATAGAAAACATCCGCACCCTGCTTGTCTTGATGGGATTTGCAAGCTGGGAAGGACCCGAACTGGTCCAGGAAGCCTTTGGTTTACAGCACTTACTAGTGAGGTGTTTACGGGAATTTGGTTTAACCGAAAACATTGCAGTCACTCCGAGACACTCGCCTATGCATTGGCATGAGTGGGCCGAGGACGAGTCCGTCCGCCGTACTCGACTTGTCTCCTTCTGCTTTGTTCATGTCCATAGCATCGCGTACAATATCTACCCAGTGCTTCGAAGTAGCGAGGTACACTTGCGCTTGCCCTGTTCCACTCAGGAATGGAAGGCTACCACAGCTAGTGAATGGGAGGCCGCGCAAAAGGAGGTTGGCTCGCAACAGTTGTTCTTCCAGGATGCGCTGGCTCTACTTCTGCAGAAGTCACGAACGCCTGTCATGTTGGATCCGATCCCTTCGCCGTTAGGCAACTACATTCTGCTCCATGGCCTTCTACAGCGCATCCATCTGGTGAGCGAACTTTCCATCCCTAATGGAGACCAGTCATTTTCATTACCCACAGAGGAATTAAATAAACTTGAGTGAGTCTCGCCATATGTTTAACTGCACTATCAAGCCGAACGGCAAACTGACTATTGCACAGGAGGGCACTTCGCTCATGGACTTCCGTATGGCAGCAAGCACCGGAATCAAGTCTCAATCCCCATAATGAAAATGGTCCCATTCCATTCACGTCAAGCTCACTTTTGGGGCTGGCCTATGTTCGTCTTTCTTTAAATCTAGGGCCCTACCGCCAGTTAGAGACGCGAGACCCATACTGTATTGCTACGGCGCTACATCGATCACCGCGACCGGGACGAAGCTATCGACTAACGCCTGCGCTGATCTATGCTGCCCACGCATTAAGCATTCCTGTACGCCTGGGAATTGACTATGTTGCACGTAGTCAGGCCTTCTTCTGGAGCGTCCGACATTCTATTGCCAGTTTAGAATGCGCGGTCCTCTTAAGCAAATGGCTACTGTCTCTAGCAGAGGCAGGAAACGAGCCTACTCTGAGTGGTACGAGGCGACACTTTCCAGATCCTCTTGTCAAAATACCGGAGCGATTGCTAACTTTTGATCTAGAAAATGAGAGCCGAATCCTGCATTGGACACGTTGTATAGTCGAAGAAGCATATGCTTCAATGGACCTAGAAGATGGGGAGGCAACCCCCAGTCAGGATCCACGAAGCCTCGGATACGCAGTCATCAAGCTATGGGCCCGCCTTTTCCGGCGAAACACCCAGTGGCCGTTCATCAACGTGATGGGTGAAAGTCTAGAAAAGTACCTAGCTTTAATCCGGCAAGATTGAAGACGTGGCAACAGACAAGGCGAAGTAAGGATAACCCTGGACCTGCCTCGGAGTGAAGCGGATTGCACCGAAATCGTTGAGCCCGGCACATCCGGGGCCTTACTTCTTGCGACGAAGTCTGCTTCGTCACCGTCAAGAGTGGGTATTCGTCATGGACGTCTCCGAATCCGGCTAAGCGATATGTCTTTTGGGCGATCATTCATTCAGATTCCAGGTTGTCAATGTCTCGTGGCAGATGTGCCACATCCGTCAAGCAGCAATTTGCATAACGATGGAATCACGACAGTTCTGAATGCCAAGTGTAAGTGGCGCTTAGGGAGCCAGTGTCTATAGATTCTTTGTACATAGTGAGTTTCTTTTCTGATTTTGAAGAGACTCGTGTATATACATGTAAGTGGGAAGGATCGCATATCAGTACATTTCATCAATCAATTAAGCTACTACCTTGTCGCTATGTGTTAATCCACCTTAGGAATCATTAAGTACAATAGCCCATTATATCACATACAGAGATAGCATTATTTCCATCTTGTTGAGTACGGGAGAGTACTGGAGCCATGAGACTTGGCTTCTTGTCTTTGTAGGCGGCGTTCAAAGTACACAACATACAGTCCGTTGGCTCTTTACCAGAATCTTCTCCTACTAGACCCCGTAGAAGTGGCGGTGGCAGAAGCGGAGCTGGCACCCGAGGCCGAGGCCGAGCTGGACGTGGCAGTCGACATGGAAGCAGCCGAGCTAGAAGAGGAGTTGCTACCATAGGTAGCAATCAGAGGCCCGATGGTAAGATTACCGCAGGGGGGCTGAGGCGCCGAGACACATCCCTTGAAGTAGCTGCCCAGCTGGCCGGGGCTGGAGCCGTTGGAGAGCACGTAGCTGGGGCTGTAGGCGGGCACCAGCGAGGTAACGTTGCTCGGGAAGATGACGGCCTCCTGGGTCGTGGCGAGGTAGGCGGCGTGGCCGGCGTGCTGGGCGGCCAGACGGGCGATCAGGAACGAGACCTCGGGGGCTTGGGTGTAGCCCTCGAGCCCGATGAGGGCGGCGCAGACGTCGGACTCGAACGTCAGGGCGGTGGTGAGGAAGGTCTCGCTGCTGTTTGGGGCGGGGAAGGTGAAGTTGCAGCCTGGCGCGGTGAAGTTGCTGATGGTCTTGCCGAGTTGCTGCGCGGCGCGGACGCCGAGGCGGTTCTGCTGCTGCATGCCCGCCAGGTTGAGGGCGTAGTTTGCGGTGGAGCTGTTCAGCGCCGAGTGGAGGAAGGTCTGGTTGACCGGGACGGAGGCGTAGTATTGCTCGACCATGTATTCGAGCGCCCAGGCGTACTGGACCACCTGCACGTCGCCGGACTTGGGGGTGCAGTAGCTGTTGTTGAGGGCGGCGGTGGTGGCCGCGCCGGCCAGCATGAGGCCGCCCAATGTCGGGAGGACACGCATGGTAGAGTCTAGAGTCACTTGGTTTTGACTGAGTGCGTCTGTGGGCGAGGGGATGCGTCGACACCGTAGGAGCAGTTGATATACTTCGAAGTTGAAACGAAATGTAATCTGTGTCAAGTGTGCTCACGCTGAGCGGCTCTCTTTTAAGGTCCCTCACCCGACCAACTCTGGTGGCACAGCCTAAGTCCTTGCAGTCATCATGAACAACAACGACTATTCAACCGGTCATGAATGCAACCATATGATGAAATCAGGACTATTCCCGTGTACAATTGAGTTTGTTCAAGCGGGAAATCTATGCCCATAGAGCTGTCGTCCCGGCTCCCTTGCATCATTGACACCGGCGACTAGAAACTCTGTTCCCCCGGAACCAGTCGCAACTCACACCGAACAACTGTGGAACAACAAATTGCATTGACCTAGACCCTGCAATTTGGGATCTTCCGCATTGTATGAACCAGAGGAATACGCGTCCAGCTGTTGAGATATCCGATCACTTGGCCACCATGATCTCATGAACGGTGGGCTCCCGTACGGCTCCGAGAATCTGGAGCCGTGATATCATATCCGCATCGATGAAGCCGAGTCAAGGGATCATCGAGGGTCCTTGAGCTTCAGAGCATTATTGCTCACGTTGGCCGTTCAACATCAATTCGCTGCTGAGGATGCCAAGGCAGTGAGTAATGGTTGATTATTTCAATTGTTAGACAAGAGATGGACGTTCATCTGCTGCTCTTGGGAATCGATCATCTGTGCTGCGCTAGTCCCAAAGAAGACATATGGATGACTGAGGCATCCTTCCACTTCCTGTTCTGTAGACCAACACTTGCGCTACTACGAACGAAGGAATTGCAGGTTATTGACTTAACCATTCTTATAATAATATGCAGTCTTGCCCAATATGAACATGATATGTAAGGGAAAGCACTTCTAATCGCCATATGTGGTAAAATATTAATACTGATCAGTCCTAAGAATAAGGTAGCCTCCCAAAGAGATGTACGGAACTTTTGGTCCCTATGGCTGTAACAGGAACCCAATCAATGAAGGGAAAGGAAACGATCAGTAGGTCAGTATGTATAAAGCTCTATGAGTCATCAACAAGACGCTTGGTTTCCCAAGCCTTTTTCGCGCCGTCCAAGAGAACCTCTAGATTGCCACTGTTCTCGCACATGCTACGGAACAGCCCATCTGGCTTGTTGATCAGCGTCCAGGGATGATCGTACTCAATGACCCGACCATGATCGAGCACTAAGACTTTGTCATAGTCAATGATGGTTTGCAGGCGGTGTGCAATAGTGATAATGGTGCTTTCTCGCAACTCTCGCAACGTTTCTTGAATCTTGGAATCAGTGTTGTAGTCAATAGATGCAGTCGCCTCATCCATCATCAGAACCTTGGGGTTTTTCAAAAGAGCGCGCGCGAGGCACAGAAGCTGCCTTTGACCTTGAGACAGATTCGAGCCTGATTCGGAGACTGGAGACTCCAGGTTGCGGAAAATATTCTTATTGTCTTGAACAGCGGCGCCATCCACGTCAGCTCCATTGGTGGATGTCGGGTGAGGCTCAGCAATTGACACTGTGCTAGCCGTAATAGGAGTCGCCGACCCTGACGTTCCCGGCCCGATGAGATGGACACGACGAAGGGCTGTGAAGATCTGCTCATCGCTGAATGAGTTGAATGGATCGAGGTTGCTTCGAATAGTTCCCGTGAAAAGAGTTGGATCCTGGGGCACAATGGTAATTGCCTCCCGCAAATCTCGTAGTCCAATGGTGCCAATGTCTAGTCCATCGATGACAATCTGCCCCTGCTCCGCCTCAAGTCCCCGGAAGAGCGCAAGCGCCAGAGAACTTTTTCCGGCACCTGTGCGGCCAACGATACCGACTTTTTCTCCAGGCTTAACTGCAAAGGACACGCTTCGAAGGACAGGATCGAGGTCGGGCCGATACCGGGTAGTGTAATTGATAAATTCGACGGAGCCTCCAGTGGGCCAGTCGGCGGGGGGCCTCGAATCGACAATTACTGCCTTGGCTTCTTGCTCAACGTCAAGGTACTCTTTCACTCGTTCAACCGAGTTCATGCTCTGCTGAACCTCCGAGTACAGCCGGACCAGCCACAGCACGTTTTCAGTGAAAGTGACTGCATACGTCAAAGACAGGCCAGCAGCACCAGCGTCAATTTTCCCGATATTGATCAGAACAAAAGTGGCTGTGAAGAACGAAACCAAGGCGCCCGTGATGTCTACACGGAATGCCAGCCAGCGATTTGCAGCCCAAAGGTATATGTGGGGACGGTTGTAGGCATTGATACGCCGGTGATTGTCGACTATGAACCGCGGACCATCGCCATACGCACGAATGGTGACGATGCCGTTCAAGGTCTCGCCGAACTGCTGGTAAAGAGGGCTTCGCTGTACCGACTCCAGTCTCTTCATATCACGAGACGCGTTGAGGTAAACAGCCCCTAGGGCGAAATAGATCATAGAAATGAAGATCGCCGCGATCAGAAAACCAGGAGTTATGACAGAGATCAAAATCACTATCATGATGACGGACGCCAAGCAGTGAATCATACCAATAGCGACAGGGGCGACTTCTTGGTCGACAGCTTCTATATCCTTGGAGAACCGGTTCATCAATTGACCCAGTGGGGTTGAATCGAAGAACTTGAACTTGGCATGCGTCACGGCATCTAGAAGGCGCCTGTGAATCTTGGAAGATGCGTTGAGAGAGCCCCAGAAGAGAACACCCTCCCTCAATAGGGAGATTAGGACGTAGCCAATTCCCAGGAATGCGTAGACTCCCAAATAGTAGGAGACATTGACATCGCCATCGGTCGCTGGATTTCGCTGTACACCGAGCTGGGGAACGTAAGAATTGGAAGTACGCGGAACACCCCCAGCATTGAATGACGGGAACTTGAAATTTGCCGCTGCAGCATAATTGCCAGCATCAACCGAGCTGTTTTCTTCAACCTGATAGGAATTTGCCCACTGTCTTATCCAGATGTTGGTCGAGACAGATCCCAGTTGCTGCAAGCTGAAGACAAGAGCAGCACATATCCAGTAGTACCAGGGACCCATCGACCTGAGGTAAAGCCGAATGGTCGACCACTTGATACTCCCGACAGCTTTCGATTCCGTCAGCTTCGACTGTGCATTGTCCCCTTCCTGATCCTGCGCAGTCGGCTTGCTAGGGGATCCGTTCACCTTTCCGTTTGTCGACGGCGGTTCCTCCGCGTGTCTGTCACCCGCGTCTGATGGCAAGCGTGATAAGCGAGGGGTACTGGCTCTCGAGGTGGGCCGAGACTTGAAATAGTCTTCACCAAAGACTCCCGAACTGGCGACATCATCGGGGAGACCTTGAGCGCTGATTTTACCGTTGTCGAGGGCAATGACATAATCGGCTTGAGGAACTGTCAGAGCGACATTGTGGGTGACAAGTATACAGGTCCGGTCCATCATCAAGGGGCCTCTGAGAGCCTCTCGGAAAATGTGCTTTGCTGTGTGAGAGTCCACAGCACTGAGACAATCATCTAGCAGTAGATGACGAGCCCTGCTGTAGACAGCGCGAGCCAGGGAGATTCTTTGTTTCTGTCCTCCAGAAAGACTGATACCTTTCTCGCCAACCATGGTTTGATCGCCCGCATCGAGAATAGACAAGTCGCGTTCGAGAGCACAGGCTTTGATAACGGCCTTGTAGCGACGCTCGTCAAACGGTGAAGCGAACACAATGTTCTCTTTGACCGTAGCATTGACAAGCCATGCTTCTTGTGCACAGTATGCGACGCTCTCAATGAGTCCAGTTTGGGGATCAACAGGCAATTCCGCTCGGTTGGCCGTTCCGCCGGGTAGATGGACTCTGCCCTCCAACAGTTTCATTTCACCCAAAAGTGCCATCAATAAAGATGTCTTTCCGGAGCCCGTGGGCCCAGCGATAATATTGAGTTTACCAATATCGAAGGACACGTTCATATTGATCAAACGGAAGGCTTCGCCATTGTCAGGGGCCTCTCCATGAGAGTCTTTCTTGGGAGTGCCCCACGAAAGAGTAGCGTTCTCCAATGCAATCTTAGGCGGTGTTTCAGGGGCCGTGCTTGTGCTCAATATGTTGTACTTTTCCGTTTCCTCTTCATTGAGATACGTATCCACCCGGTCCAAGGAGACTTTGGACTCTTGAACATGAGCAACCATATCAGCCAGCTGATCCAAGGGTACGCGAAGTAAGGAGAACATCGACAAAGCCGGGAAAGCAACCGATGGGGTCAGTTTCTTCTTTTCAACCACCGTATACAAGAAGAACGAGGTGAAGGTGATGAGAATCGGTGTCCCGTACCAAACCGTTGCCGCGAATGACCACAGAATGTAGCGATTTCGTAGCGAATTCAACTCTGCCCTGCGTTTCTCGTCAATAATGTCTTGGAACCGCTGTTCCCAAGCGAAATATTTAACAATGCGAATGTTCTGAAGGACCTCATTGGTCGCGTGAATACGTGCATCGGTTCCCGCCAGGATTTGGTTCTGCAACCTAGCGAAGCTTTTGGCGATAAAAAGATTTACTGGAAGCATGAGGACCATGAGAACGATCCCAGCGAACGAGCTGAAGCCAAGGAGTCGATACAGAAGCGTGACAGCAATGATGATTTGGACCGGAACGCTAGCCCAGAGGAAGTGAAGATAGGCGCCCACTTCGCTGACTTTGAAAGAGTCAATGGCCATCAGGTTGATGATGGTGCCGACGTTGGCCAATTGAGACGGATCTGTCTTGTCGGACTCTGCTGGAGTCTCAGAGTCCGCTGTGGCCTTCTTCTTCTTGCGGCCAAAGGAAAAGATCCTGTCCTTTTTGCCGACCTTCTGAGGTTCTTCCTTCTTCTTTGGTGCATCAGGAGATGAACCGGCTTTTCGGCGCAGAGCCTTGGCGTAAATTTCGCCAATAATGATAGCACGAAGCTTGACACCTAGCTTTCGGCCAATCCAAAGCGCCTGTCCATCAGCGACGCCTTGGATAGCTCCAGAGCAAAAAAGCAGGATCGCGTACAGCCAGGCTGCGTTGGCGGTGGTTGATCTGGGATCCTCGACATATTCCAGAATAGCCTTGAGAAGGAGGGTCGGCAGATAGGTGAAGAGGTTGGAGAATATCGTCCATGCACCTTGGAGCAAGAGCGTGCCGTAGAAATAGCACCCGAGCCTCCAGACTAATGGGCCTCTGGGATGCTTGCGGCGAAAGTCCTCCAAAACTGTAGCAGCTTTCTGTGATGTTGTTAAGTTCCAAACGTCGTCTAGTTCAAGCGGCTGTTTGTAGCCCTTCCAGATCAGTGGATCTAACCAGGAAAAAGTCAATAGTGACAATAAGCTAGCCTTGGGATGTCTCGGCGGCTCTAATCCATCTTCATATTGCACCAAAACTGCCTTGTTACCTCTGCGTGTGGTCACAGCAATGAGCAACAGCAGTGTCGACAGCGCAAATTCGACGGCGCTCAATGTCAAAGCACGCTTCGACAAGGGGTGAATGACCGCAGACCGAAACACAAAGACGTTGAACAACCATTGCAAACCATACAGGGTCGCAGTGTGGTCCCACAACCGAGGAGACGATTGCAGCTTCAAAGTTGAAAGAGTGAATCGAACCAGCACTAAAAATAGTATATAGCCCCATGAAATCAGCTTGCCCACAGCTGGAAGCGTCCCACTGTCGCCCCAGGCATTGGTGCTCAGTATGATGACAAACGTGGCTATTAAGCCCACTAATGCAGCTACTTCCAGAGCTATGATGGCGATTTCACCTCGCGGACGATCGATCTCCAGTCGCGGCTGCTCCAGCTGCGTCGCCTTGAATAACATCGGATCGGTTTCCTCTCCTTCCTCTCCGTCCTCCCCATCAACTGGTCCGGTATTGGGTGCAACATTCTCAGCTTCATCGTTCACCAGGACCTTGTAAGCGATTCCCTTCTTTGTTACAACGTAGCGATGCGCAACCCGGATGACGATATACAATAAGGAGAGACCGCATGCTGCTAATGGAAAAATAAGTTGTAGATATCTGTATTAACTCAAATGCGTCAGATTGAAGTATTTCTTTGCGAGATGCAGGGAAGGTGAGCACTTGAGAACATACTTGCGCTGGAAGCAACGGGAAACGTCATCAATGGCCCAGATGGGACCATGGCATTCTGGCATCATTTTTATGTCGCGATATATAAGTAGCAGAAGTAAGAACGAGAGCCACGTCGATTCTTCCGCTTCGCATTCAGGCGCTGGAACCCAGCGGCGGTGGATGACGTCGAAGCGTAAAGAAACAAGAACTTGCCAAAGCTACTGGCGTTACTGATAGCTTTCCGACATTGAGATGCAGGACGAGCCTGACATTGCCGGGGGACTTTTTAAACAGACAGACGAAGGGGAAAAAAATAGTTTAGGTCAACAGATCAAAAAGAAGGGAATGAATACGAGGGAGTCAAATCAAGGTAGCAGCGGAACCAGGGAGAATCGAATTTGACAGTCGGAAAGTAGTGTTCCAGTTACTAAGAAGTATCTAAGAGTAGTAGTCTAATGAGTGGGGGGAAGGGGGCCGGCCGGCGGCGAGCAGATTGGGATTAGAGCACTAGAGGCGCTAGATCCCTACTAGCAGGAGAGGCCGATGCAACCCAGATCAATGCTTGGGATCTTAAAGAACTCCACCACCAACAACGGTCTTGTTGTGCTATTTAATCAACGCATGCGACTCATCCTCTGAGTGTGAGTCAGACTGTCAAAGGTCAAGTGAATATTTTCCGACTCAAGGAAACACAGAACACTTGGAGATGTCGCCATTACTGTCTCAAGGAAGTTAAACGATTACTCTGTGGAGGGTCATCGCTACCAGAGAGCTGCCTACCTTCTAGGTAGACGATGCTAGGTTTTAATACAATTCAGTTTCATCAAAATCCTATAAGGATCTCGTTATGCTTGTTCTGCTTCTTGTCCTCTATCGTGATCGAGGCACAGAATACTCAGTAACTCCCGTTTACAAAGAAGTCAGCACCACGGCAAGTGATCAACCACCAACATCAGCTTGGGCCTCCTGCAGGATCCTCGCTCATCACACCGACTTCGATATACATACTCCGGAAAAACTTACACCTTTCGAATTACAAGGAGCTACAGGTCAACCAAGACGAGCGCTGGTACCTCTCCCTCTTATCGGCATCAATTAGGAATCCGACGGAGGGCGTTATACTGTCAATGATAGTCGCGCGCTAGCCAGGATTGTCTTAGACTTGGGGACATGACTCGCTGGAGGTGCCTGTGCTCCCATGATATCATCCGACAACTGGGTGAGATAAATGAATCCGTAGTGACAAGATACCTATCTCATTGGAGCGATATCATCTTCACCAGCACGACCTTCCGATTATTATCATGGCTAGACTAGCAGTCTCTAACTTCGCGCTTGCATTGATAGAATATTCAGCCCTCCTTGGAAAGCTTTTGCTTATGTCCCTACCCTCAACTCTGGGATGATCTGATTCTCGAATGTGAGGTAGATGATAGAAAGAGATGTCGAAGGATTGGCCTAATCTCCAAGTCGATGTACAATGTACAAGATACAACTTCAATGTCAGCGTGGTCAAAAAATTAGAAGAAAACTCTGACTGATGTTGATAAAGCCATGCCAGCCTGCCAATCTGATCATCTTTGCAGCAATTTTCCCTATTCTGGTGTAGCGCCACCCCGGGTCTTTCCGTCATGAGATTGCCACGGCGGCACCGTAACCCAAAGAGGAAAGCCATGGCCAAAACCTCAGGCTGCCTTTGATGGCTCAGGCGACCATCCTGAGCTTCCCATGTATTCCCTCTTCCGTTCCTTTGTGTCATTCACTACTAGTATTTGCTTTATGATTCACCTTTGACAAGGTGCCAGCCAACTTTCTCTGCCGCCTTTTTCAGCTTACCTGCTTTGCAACACCCTCCTTGACAGAGCACTTCCGTCCCCCCCAATCGACCGTCGCGAGCCGTTTCCACTCTTGATCGCCGCCATGGCGGAGCGTATTTTGATGAATGAATACAAGGCGTTGGCTAAGGAGGATTGGGTAAACATCGAGGTACGCCCAGCCTATTATATGGATATGCTCAGGTTACGAGATCAGGCGTTGGATATGAAGCTTGTGAATACTTGTTCTACTAGCGCCTGTATCCTTGCAGATAGTGACGTCCAGGCTGACATGAACATGGCAGCTTAATGGCGAAGATATCTTCAACTGGAATGTCGGCCTTATCGTACTGAACCCGGACTCTCTGTACTACGGCGGTTACTTCAAGGGGTCCATGAAGTTTCCCAAGAACTACCCATACTCCCCGCCTGGTGAGCCACTACTGTGTTCCTCCTTTTCTTGTCTTCACCTCAGTCAGCACTGACCCTCACAACTTCCCATGTAGAGTTTCGGTTTCTCCGCCCTCTTTACCACCCCAACATCTATCCCGACGGCAAACTCTGCATATCTATCCTACACGCGCCCGGTGAGGATGAGATGTCAGGCGAGCTGGCTTCCGAACGCTGGTCGCCTGCTCAACGTGTCGAGTCTGTCCTTATTTCGATCCTCTCGCTCCTAGATGATGCGGAAGTGTCGTCGCCCGCCAATGTTGATGCCGGTGTCATGCTACGAAAGGACTTCGAATCTTACAAAGGGCTTGTGAGGAAGGATGTTGAGCGATCGAAGAAGGATATTCCTGAGGGTTTCGTCATGCCCACTCATGAGTCCTCGATGAACAGACCGACGGAGAAGACCGACGATGCAGACTTCTGGGCCGACAGTGAAGTCGACAGCGACGTGTTTGGGGGAAGTGACTCAGACGAGGACTTGGATCTTGATGACCAGGATACCGGCAGCGACGAGGAGGAAGACGACCAGGATTGATGGTGATTTTGTCGCTGCTTTCATGATCCTTAGAGGAGGATTTGCTTCTTTCGACCTTGATCCTTCTGCGGGTCTCATTTCTGTGGCGAAGATCTTATCGGCTTTCTATGCATAGCGCAGGCGCATCGGCGAGCTACGGTTTTTCTCATTGATCCATGGTAATATCTATCTCGAATTTATCCATTACACCTGGCTTTTGCTTTCTATTGCATAATTGTACCAACAGTATCATTACTGCCGTCTTTGGATCATTTACTGGAGCATTCTTGCTGCATTGTATGTAATGTACAGATACAAGCAACTTTGCTGGGATACATTCCAGCAAATTGTATTTCTAGCCCATGACAAGATCCCAAAACAGTCGTGACTATTCACTGTAGCGAATGGACCTTCCCAAGTATCCTAGCATGTATATATGTTGGGTGTTACTTCCACACTCCACCCACCCTACCTCAAGCCCAAGGTACCAGGTCACCAAACACATGATCCAACTCCTTAAAGATCGTCCACGTAGATACCCTGATCCATCAATCCCATGCCCACCCATTTTCATTTCCAGAGATCACACCACCCACCCCCCAGACGTTGACTTAAGTTGCATCCTTGCGATACTAAGCTCCCGAGATGAGTCACAGCGCACCAGAAATCACCAGACGAATGGGGAAGATGCTTGTGCTTGTGCTTGTGCTTGTGCCACTACCTACGCTAAGGGCTTCTTGTGTTCATGCGGCTCTGTTTCAAGTCGCACAGGACTGGCTTCGGTTGGGCTGAGCAGATGGGTGGTGTGTGGCTAGCGCAGTCCCAGAAATGGTCTGTTTTGGCTCTATTTTGAGTCATTGTTATGTCTTCCCGTATTCTTTCTTCGTGGGTCAGGTATACGAGATCTTACTAGCTGACCGAAAGTCTTTCCATTCAAGGCTCATGGGGCGAGTAAATTGGGCACTTTATAGATCAGGGACTATATATATCACAAAGCGATGAGCCAACAACCGTTTCTCTGAGCTACGATGGTTGCCTTTTGCTCGAGGGAGTATTCAGAATCGATCTCGCCCTTCAGTAGGAGAATTGAGTAATCTAGAAGAATACCATATGAAGTGCCGATGTCCACTTGACACATCCTTGTGTGAGTGCTGATTTCGAACGATTTGGTCCATATCCCATCAGCGACTACGATCAGCTTCAGAGCTCGAGACCATTTCATGTACAATTGAAAAGATGCTGAATCTAAGTGGAATCGCGCATTCTTAAATTGCCAATCTGATGAAGCGCACAAACAAATCCTCTAAATCAGTTGTCAAAAGTAAGGGCTGTGGACGTGTATACTACGGTAAAAATGAGAGTAAATAAACGATGTGATGCAATCAATGCATCGACAACTACATAAAGCCAGAGCAAAAGACAAAAACCTGCGCCAGTGTTCCCTCATCAACGGCCCGTTCCCGAGTCCTATAAGATGAATGCATGCCCTTGAACCATGAGACTCCACATCTATGCAATAGCAGCATCATGAATCTCGCTGTAGATGGCACCAAGCTCGTCGGTGAGGAGTTTCTCGGCCTTGTGAACAAGACCCTCGAAGCGATCCTTGACGGAGGCAGTGACCTTGTAGCCGCCATTTGCAACGATGTCGCTGTAGTTGGAAGACCCGCCACCGTTCCAGGCAAGGAGCTACAGAAGTTGTTAGCTCTTTTCTTTTTCACACTAGTACGTCCGGATCACAGAAAATGCAAACTTACGTTGGGAGTGTCGGATGGGATGTCTGTAAGGGCACCCTGCGTAGCAATGGCGATGATATCCTTCTTGAGCTTCTTAGGAGTGAGCTCATCCACAGCAAAGGCAGAGTCCTTAGAAGGCTGCAGAGACACAAAGTAAGCCAGCAGACCGGCAATGTGGGGAGAGGCCATCGAAGTGCCGGAGATGGTGTTGACAGCATGCTTAGAGCCAATCCAGGTGGAGAGGATGTTGAGGCCAGGAGCGAAGATATCAGTGCACTTTCCATAGTTGGAGAAGTAGGCACGCTCATCCTGGAGCGTTGAGGCACCAACAGTAATGGGGTTCTCGGCAGCTGCTGGAGAGTAGTTGCAGGCATCGGCGTTGTCATTACCAGCAGCAACAGCGAAGTGGAGACCAGCTTCAACACCGGCATTGACAGCAGCTTCGAGCGTCCTGGACTTGCCACCACCAAGGCTCATGTTGGCAACACTGCCCTTGAATCCCTTGATCTTACCGTCCTTGGCATCCTTGGCCTTCTTGATGTGAGACTTGACAGCCCACTCGACGCCGGCTACGACATCGGACATTGTACCAGAGCCACTTGATCTGAGGACCTTGACGGCGTAGAGGTTGGCCTTCTTAGCGACACCATACTTCAGACCAGCAATGGTTCCAGAGCAGTGTGTTCCGTGACCATTGCCATCAGCGTCCTCATCATTGGTAGGGATGGTCTTGCCCCACTGAGCACGACCTTCGAAGTCGACATGGTCGACGTTAATGCCGGTGTCAATGGTGTAGGCGTCAACGCCCTCACCGCCCTCCGATGCGTACAGGTACTTGTTGAATGTACCAAAGGAGAGGCTGTCACGATGAGAGATACGGGCCAGACCCCAAGGAGCGCTCTTCTCGACGGTGTGATCCTCCATAGTGTGGACCTCGGAGTCCTTCTCGATATATTCGACCTGGAATGAGTCGGATTAGCTATGGCTCCATGCAGTATCTACTTAAGAGTTCATTCAGGCCACTTACATCGGGGTGTTGGCGAACTTGCTCAATAACATCTTCATGGAAGTGCCCTGAGTAGCCCACGAGCGAGCCGGCGATGTCGAAGGTGTTCTTGAGGCCGAGATACGCCTCCTCACCGAACCCGAAGAGGGACCGTTTCCTCAACTCGACCCGCTCGTTCTGAGCACTGTGGATGTCCTGCACCCAGGTGTGATGGGCAGCCGCCGACTCAGCATTGACGTGCTTCTTGAAAACAACGATGTAGGAGTCTGGAACCTCTTTGGCGTTCATGGACGAGAGGACGGGGGCAGCTCCATTGTGGATGGAGTCCACGACAACGGGGGACGCAGCCGCGAGCAACGGGAGCAAAGAAAGGCCGAGATAGCCTTTCATGATGGAGGACTAGGACAAAGGTCGGGAAACAGTTGGAATAATAAGACGAAAGATGGAATAGGTGGTTGACGATGGATGAAGGAGAGATGAAGGATGAAGATGAGGATGGGGGGAGGTTGGAGTAGAAGAAGAGGAGAACTACCTACTAATGGACTCCTCAGCAGGCAAGGGCAGCGGAGGATGATGCAACCGGGATACGGTAACTTACAGCAGATGACCTGGAGCCTGCTGGAGAACACAGCCTGACTGGCTGTCGATCAGCCCTGATTAGCGCGGCGGGTACTGTAAGACCTGGGGTATGGCGGATGGGTAACGAAATGGTAATGGTATGAATCATGCACATCATGATATGGTGATAAATCCCAAGGTATCCTATCATGGCACGTACTTTACAGTCCCCCTCAACCCAGAAAGATAAGAGCACTAATTACAAATTGCCCTGTATTCGTACCTGTGAAAGGCTACCTAGGTAAGGTACCTAGGTCTGTAAGGTACTTGTTGTCTGGTTGTGACTCGGAGTGAGGCGTAGCTGGGTGGAGAAGGCTAGCTACCTAGGTACTACTGTACTAGTAGGTAGGTACTTCCATTCTGCCTATCATTCCTTATGTGCAAGGCAGATATTAAGAGTGACTCAATCATGATAAGTTGACAAGCTCACTAGCTCGAGATGACGCTGAATAGTAGATGCCCTTTTGCTAAGTGTTCCCTGTAACTGGGTAGGTATTTGAGGTTAGAGATCATACACTGCAGGTACCTGTAGTATATTCAGCCATAGATAACACTCCAGGTTCCCGCGCAGCAGAGTTTCAGAAGAGCAATATATCAGTCAAGTCGCGTGCTCTCTTCGTGCTCGCCTGACACAGATATGAGATATGAGATAGCCAGGGAGTAATACCTATGGTTGATCGACATGAGTATTGTTACCAGGTGCCCGCCCTGGTAACGGGAGTACGTAATACCTTACATCTTACATAACCTAATAATTCCACGGACCTGAACCCACCAAGAAGAGTCGATGATAAGGACTCCATGCTTATCGATACCGATACCTGTCCAATAATAGCTATCACACAGGAATGGCCACATTCGTCACCTGATGGTCTCCGCTCGAGGAAGGAAGATTGGACACTCACCTCAGCCACACATTTCGGTTTGGTGCGTTTCCCCGCGGTCGTGAGGAGAGAGGAAGCTTTGAGCGGCATCGGAATTGAGCCAAGTATCATATCTGATAGCTTTGTGAGAGTGTGTAAGTAAATATTCGAAACTGAACAATTCCCTTGACATGGTAATCTGACACAAGCTATCTACCCCTCGTTAGATTTCAGTCAACAATATCGCACAGTTACTCGTCTGCTGACCAGCAGGTCCTCGCTTGATTCATCCAAGGTATCGTCCATCAGAGGCACCGCGGACTAAGCCGACTTGGTAGTAGACCACATACCAATGCAGACCGCCTTTATCATCACGCCAAGTGCAGGTTCATGGTGTCTGATGGTCGTTGGCCATCAGGTCGATAGTCGAGGGTAAAGCTTGAGCGGCGAGATGAGCCAGCCTACTTTCAACCTCTCTCCCTCCACTTCCTCCTCGACTGAACGATCAGCTGCCGCCGCCGGATTAGCGCCACTTATTCAAGAGCTCAAAGCTGCCTGCGATACGTGCGACAAGCAGACGTTTGCCTCGCAGCAATTTCATACCGCGACTGAATCTTTGCTGCGTCTGCGTCATACCTTCCTTGATAACGATCGTCCAAGGGAAGCCCAGGAGGCGTTCCGACATCTTTATGGCTTCGAGACACTACTGCAGCTCGCGAAGAAGCTCTCGGAGCTATACGAGCCGACAGAGTTATCAGCAGAAGAGAGAAGAACTCTCTTGACCCTCTACAAAGATGCTTTGGCTGTCCTGGCTGAGAGCTTGAAGGGGAATTTCGGGAACAAGCGTTACTTTGCGAAACGGATATCGAGCGGGGGTACAGCAGCTCTGCAGGAAGCACTGGACATAATAGCCCCAAAATTTAACAGCGCCCAGGGTGATACGGAACAATTTTATGGTGGCATCCTGGCCGCGGCTCTCTGCCAGGAAGCGGTCGCTGGTATCTTCACGACACTCAACACGAAGTTTCAATCAGTCGAGGAACTGTTTCCGCAGGATGTTAAGGCGGAAGTCGATCGACGCATGGGGAGCTCGGAGACCGTCGAGGTGCCCGAACTTTTGGGACCGTTTCTGAAAGTGTGGTTGAAGCAATCGACGTCCCCTCATTCTGACTACAGAGTTCAGAGGCTAGTTTTGCCTGCCTGCCTCTGTCAGTTGGCTTATCAGTCTCAAAGAAATCTTACAGCGCTGCATGCCACTGGGATATTAAGTTCAATACTGCCTGTTCTGTTTACTAGTGACCGCCCAGAATCAGAGAGAATACTATACCAGGACCTGGCTCAACTTCTCTGTGCTCAAGGATTGACTAGTCTGGAGGATGCGGCTACCTTGTATCGGAAAGCACATGGCTGTGCAAGAATGCTGCGATTCCTCGTCGACGTTCTAAAGTGTTCCAAAGAACCCCCGTTGATACAGTTCGACATGTCACTCCATGGGTATTCCTCCTTAGAGTTTTCGACTTTGGGTCGACCATTCCCTCCTGTTACTTCCTCAGGTTACACTATTGCAGTGTGGGCCCGATTTGATAGGTTCGATCCAAGTACACACACTACAATATTTGGTGCCTTCGACGCTAGTCAATCATGCTTTTTACTGGCGTACCTCGAGAGAGACACTCGCAACTTTATTTTACAAACTTCAATCAGAGGAACTCGCCCTAGTGTTCGATTCAAGTCGATAGCTTTCGAACCAAACCGTTGGTACCACATATGTGTGGTTCATAAAAAGCCCAGGCCGCCATCGCACTCCCGGGCTTCTTTGTTCATTGACGGCGAATTTGTCGAACAATTAAGGATTGACTATCCGTGTGTGCCCGTATCTAATACTCCTAATCGATTGCCACGTGTGCAGGCATTCTTTGGCACCCCCCAGGATTTGGCCATGAAACTTGGAAAGGCCGTATCGGTATCACGCTGGTCCCTGGCGAATGCAGTCCTCTTCGAGGAAGCCCACAGTGATGATATGGTTGCTGTCTTTTACAATCTGGGGCCTCGGTACTTTGGCAATTTCCAAGATTGCTTGGGCTCTTTCCAAACCTATAAGGCCTCCGCGACCCTTAACCTGCGAAACGAGCACCTGCACCCTGGCAAGGAGGAAGCGTCAGATATTGTCACTGCGATTCGGCGAAAAGCAAGCGTTCTGATCCGTGAAGGGTCGATCTTGATTAACATCTCACCCATGTCCGTGCTAGATGATGACGATAATAACCACATTGACGAGTCTCAGCTCGTCAAGAGTCTTTCAAGGAAAGCCATCAAGAATCTGCATCAGTTGACGAAGGCGGGCGGCAATGCAGTAGCTGCCAATGGGGCCGTTCCCTCGTTGAACGACGCTTTGACGCAGGCTCATGGTATGGGTATTCTGACAGGGGATCCAGTTGTTTCAGTCCCTCATTCACTTGACGACGTTAGTTGGCGCATCGGAGGTTGTGCGGCGGTGCACTTGAGCTTGGTACACGCCGCTAAAACCACCAAATGCTTAATCCTTGCGGTTGAAGCGTTATACGAAGCTGTACAGGACAATTGGCGAAATAGTGAAGCGATGGAAAGGGAAAACGGATACGGGATTCTTGCAGCGATACTTCGAGATAAATTTGGGCTGGGGAATAGCTCTGCGACAAGTAAGGCTTCTAGCATCTGCTCCAATGTCGAGGAACAGTCTGCCTTGGGTCTTGAGCTTCTTCGACTGACTCTCAAATTCGTTGGATACGATTTCGAGCACCCCAACCGATCGATAATTACAAATCCACTGGCCTACAGGGTGTTGCTCGTGGACCTTGACATTTGGAGACCAGGGGATTCCGCCCTACTGAGTTTGTACTACTCTCAATTCACCACATTCGCTGGTGAAAGTAACTTTCGTCGGTTCAATGCAAAACGTCTTTCTCGCATGCGTAGGTTCATAGCTCTCCCTTTGCTCCTTCGACACTTCTTTTTCTCGCTGACGATTTCTCCAGGGGTCAACAAGAGGTTACTGGAGGCGCTCAAGGGTGACGAGTTCTCCCCTGAATCCCTCCGTCTTCTGATTTCTGCTTTCCAATCTCTCATGGAAAGCTGTCTTTCTGCAGAGCTCTTCCGTTCCTTGGCTCTCTTCATCACTTCTGCTATTCATAAGACCAGAGAACCGAGCAGACTCCAGAAAAAGAAGAGTTTGAGGTTCACCGCTGGTTCTCAGCAGATTGCAGCATCGGCTGAGCGAGGGAACTGCGTATCAAGCACAAAAATAGCAGTTGAGATGCTGCGAATGTACTCTTCTGTTCTCTGTGATTCTCATGACCTCATACCGCTCAAGAAGTTTGCGCGTTCTGTGACGAACAAGGTATGACAAAAAAGTCTCCCCATGTTTTGTTTCAATCGGCGATCCTGACATTTTGCTTTTAAAGTGGCTCCTGTATCTCATTTGTGAGGATGAACCTGAAATCGTTGCTCTTGCGACCAAGATCTTAGCTCGATTGATAGTCAGCCATGGTGATGTTTACAGCAAGAAGTTCTCTGAGAAAACTGGAGGCTACATCATCATGCGACATCGTCTGAGAAGCTGGTGGAAGGTACCCGCCATATGGTGTATTTGTCTCGGCATTCTGTTTGGACTCGACGTTGGTGATATGAAGTTGAATCAGCCATTTAATCGAGCAGGTTTGATCGAGATCCTATCTTCGAATGGCCAGCCCCGAGTTGCTTTTCCTGAAATCCTCCCCGTACTCATGGAGATGATGCAATTGGGATTACAAAGTGTAATATCAGTCGACGAGTTGTCTTCTCCTGGTGTCCATGGCATCAAGTCTCTGCGAGGGTCCCAAGTTCGGCTTGAATCTCCTCCGGCGTCCTTGTCTACACGGGTGACTGAATTGACAAAGCAAATATCTCTCTTGGACGCGGTTGTTGGGTTGTTTGCTGATTTACATCAGAAATCAGCCGATTTCCGGGACTTTGCTGCACAGTCTGATTACATTCAGTGGTTGCTATATGTGACATTTCCGGTTGTTGTTGGTTCGAACATTTCAACCTCAGATTTCGAACTCAACTCTCGTGCTGCTAAAAGCAATTCTCGTGATCATACTTTACCTGTTCGACCGCGTTCAAGTGGAACAGCAGGATTGCGCACCACAACAGTTGAAGGGTCTAGCAGTCGTGATGGACAAGCTGGCCCATTGCGACGTGGATCATCTTTCATCCTCGTTTCATCGGATAAAACCAAGTTCTCACCTTCCTTTGCACGTATACATAGAGCTTTCATACCGCTCGGGCTCCCTCCTGACATGGCAGCTACAAACCATCCTCTTGTGCAAGCAATCCTGAGTCTAGTCCTATCTGTCTTCTGCGATCAATTGCTGGAGCGAAAGGACTTTTCTGGACTTGGGTTATACCTCAAGACGCCGACGAGCTCTCTTGAACAACAAGCGTATTTTAACTCCTGGATATTACGGAGTCTCCTTTCCAGACTGCGAGATGTTGCACTTTCCAAACCGCAACTTCTTCTGGAACCACGAGCGCTTTCTAATTTGGGACGTTTTGCAACCCATATTGGAGAAGCAGTATATGAGGGCTGGTTCGTTGACGGCACAACTCATGCCCTCGAATTTGCAGGCGCAATCCTAGAATATCTCCAGCAGTCGGATGTTTCAAGTTTAAAGAGTGTAAGGCTCTGTAGCCAAGCCGTCACATCCATACGGTCCACTCTGTTCCGTGTTGTTCTGCTCAAATTATCAGAAGTGGATGACCAAGAGGCCTGTGAGTTCTTAAATCGTTTGAGCTATTGGCAAGTGGTCTTGCTTTCTGAAGGCGAAATGCCATCGGATTACCTGCAGCTGTTGTGCTACCTTCTCTACACAAAATTGATCAGCCAAGATCGGGACATTCGCCTTGCAGCAGCGAGCTTGTGGAGAGTCATTCTTGTGCAAAAGCCCGCTGAAATGTCTACTATTTTGAGTCAGGCGGCCATTCCCTTGCAGAGACGACTCTCTGATGGCTTTGAAGCACTTGTAGGCATGGAGGACAAAGCTTTCCTACAGTGGGTCGATGACCATCAGGACGATCTCAATCCAATGTTTCTCGGGTTGCTGTCCAGGTCATGGGAGACTTTCGTCCAAGAAGAGAGCGCAAACATTGACCTCTCAAGCCGTGCAAGAGGTTCCAAGCGCCAGGAGAAATTGCGACATTGGAATCAATTAGAGAGACTCAGTGAAGAAGTGACGCGTAAACACGAAACAACCTTTCCCCATTGGGTCTCAAACATATCGGCGTCTGAGTTTCTGAAATATCAACGAGCGCTGCAGGATCAGCAGGATAACTCTGTATTCATGTGGACCGCATTTTCTCACATGACCATGGATCTAAGGCGGTTTGGAGGTGTTCTTTCAGAAGACAAGGATAGGAAATGGCGTCTAGACCAGACCGAAGGACGAAGCCGTATGCGACTTCGAATGGTTCCAGATGAATCTGGAGAACGGCAAGATTATCAACCGAAAAGGAAAGCATCCGAACCCCCAGCTATCAAAATCGACACCCAGGCGCAACCATCATCCAACGGTAATACAACGGGGTTGACACCTACGGTCTTGGCCGCAGAGAATATGGACAACAATCAGCAGGATGTCCACTCGGATAGTAAAAGCGTCCTGGAAGAGAGCTTCGAGATGATCGATGATCCTAAAGCTGACCTCGAAGAGTACGAAGACAAAAATAGAAAGGTGATGCGAAGTCTGCATCGTGGCGATCAGGTCGAAAATGTATGCAATATGTCTCGAATCATTGGCTTGGAAGCATGCGAGGGCCTGTTGATCCTTGGCAAAGACAATATCTATATATTGGATAATTTCTTTCAAAGGTCGGATGGTGAGATAGTGAACGTCTGGCAAGCACCTCCGGATGAGCGTGATCCCTACGTTCGCATGATTGCCGGCAGAGAATCCTTTGAGCGTAAAACACAGGAACACGAAACCAGAAGCTGGAAATGGTCCGATCTGATCAGCGTTTCCAAAAGACGGTTCCTTTTCCGTGATGTCGCTCTCGAGGTCTTCTTCACTGACGGTACCAGCTACCTGCTGACGTTGATCTCTTCGCGAGCCCGAGATAATCTATGCAGCCAGCTCGCGAGCAAGGCTCCGCAAGTGACGGGGAGTGCTGGCCACTCGCGGCCGGAAGACGTGTGGAGATTTGAAACCCTTCGAAGCCAGGAGGATGCGCCGCAGTCCCTCGGATCCAAGTTTGCCAGTGTCTTCGGTCACTCGCCTGTGCACCCGGCCACACGGAAATGGAGCAAGGGCGAAATATCCAACTTCCATTATCTCATGTTGATCAACACGCTCGCCGGAAGGACATTTAACGATCTGACACAGTACCCAGTCTTCCCGTGGGTGCTGGCAGATTACACTAGCGAGGAATTGGACTTGACAGACCCCAAAACTTTTCGTGACCTGTCAAAACCTATGGGATGCCAGACACCAGAACGGGAGGCTGACTTTAGGGAACGGTACCAAGCTTTCGCAGAAATGGGCGACGGGGACTCTCCGCCGTTCCATTATGGAACGCACTATTCCTCTGCGATGATTGTCTGCTCGTACCTCATTCGTCTGCAACCTTTCGTAAAATCATATCTCCTCCTTCAGGGTGGAACATTCGATCACGCTGACCGTCTCTTCTATTCCATTGGAAAAGCGTGGGAATCGGCCTCGCGTGGCAACATGTCGGATGTCAGAGAATTGACCCCCGAATTCTTCTACCTTCCAGAATTTCTCGTCAACTCTAACAAGTACGATTTCGGTCTCCTTCAGAATATGACAACAGCTATCGATTCTGTGGAATTGCCGCCGTGGGCTAAGGGCGATCCGAAGATCTTCATCACAAAGCATCGGGAAGCGCTGGAAAGTCCTTACGTGACTGAGAATCTGCATCATTGGATTGATCTCGTTTTTGGCTGTAAGCAGAAAGGGGAGGCGGCAATTGAGGCAGTCAATGTCTTTCATCATCTTTCATACCAAGGGGCGAAAGATATTGATAACATCGATGACCCTGTGGAACGGCTGGCCACAATTGGTATCATACACAACTTTGGCCAGACACCGCACCAAATTTTCACTCGACCTCACCCTCCGAGAGAAGATACACGGCATAAAGTTCCACGACTCGACCGCCTAGCTGAATCGCTTACACAGCTTCCTCTTTCCCTGCTTGGTAAGGCTCCTGGTCTGTTGCGGTTCTGGTCTTGGGCGCTAATGATGGATAAAGATATCGGAGAACAGGTTTCGACCTTGTCGATGAAGCATGACCGCTTGCTTTGTGCTGCTCCGCTCAGACTGAATATTCCGCCCAACTACGACAGATATATGGAGTGGGGATTTTTTGATGGAAGCGTTCGGTTCTACTCTGCAGACAGCCGGAAGGTAACTATACGCATGATACTGGATAGGCTGCTGAGGGGTGTACTAACAAGCACAGATTCTTGGTCATTTCGAGCATTTACATATTGGGCAATTGTCCTGTACGATTTTCGCAGACTCCCGGACATTGGTCACCTCGGGCACAGATTGTGTTGTCTCAATATGGACATACAACTCAACTGCCAAAACTGTAGACTTGCAGCCCGCAGGATCTCTTTTTGGACATCGTACCCCTGTCAATGTTCTCGCCGTCTCACGCTCGTTCAGCGCCCTGCTTTCCGCCTCCACAGATGGCCAGATCATACTCTGGGATCTCAATCAGCATGCTTTTGTCCGAGAGCTCCCAGCTAGCGGCCCAGTTGATGTAAGTGATGTCTGCCGACTAATAATTCAATCCTGCTATTCTCGACAAAGGTTGGTTGACCTCTGCCCAGTGTGCCCGGATAAATGACGTGACGGGAGAGATTATGGTTTGCCGCGGAAATCGTATCAGTATCTATACACTGAACGGGGCGCTGTTGCTCGACCAGGACGTGTGTGAATCGATTGACGACCGTGTCATGTCCTGCGTGTTCTACGAAGGCGTGAATAATGAGTGGCAAGAACGCGAGCTCATCTTCACAGGTCATAGAAAGGGCGTTGTCAATGTGAGATACCCTGACTCTTTTCGATCGAGCCATCCTTTTTTCTCCACTCGGGTCGAAGGCTAACGTGCAACCTCAAGATATGGAACAAGATTATTTGGGACGGACGTTTTGAGTTGGAGCTGATTCGGCAACTTCATCACATTGACAACAATCGAGACAATGGAGCCAATATCTCCGCAGGAATCAGCTGCATTCTGGCCCTCCCTCACGTGGTGTACACAGGTGATGAGGCTGGAAGAGTGGTAAGTCTTTCGACAGTCTCTATGAGATGACACAGTAAGCTTATTTCGTGAGCCAGTACGAGTGGAATTGCGTCCAACGCCGTTGAAGATTTTCGCAAAAGAGGTACTCTACACAATCGCTTCCTACTCGAGCATGTTGAGCGACGATACCACCGGGCAATGAATGGTTTTCGCGCCATCTGGCCGTCTTGTCTTTCACTGTTATTCAGTCACGAGTTGCAAATCGTCTTGACCGTATCCTCTGATCAGTCATGGTCCGAGGAGGGATGACTGGACCCTATGTATATAGTATCAAAATCGAAATATAGATAGACGGGAGGCATGCGGCGGCTATTTTGCTTTTTGAGGGGAAAACAAAAGTTGTTTAACCGTGATTTAGTTTGCCATTGGCTTTTCGGTGAAGAAAAAGGGTACCTAACCACCTAGACTACTGGAGCATGGCTCAGTTGGGAGCAATGAGTGGAGCGCCCATGAGCCATCCGGACATCGGAGCACTCTGCGCCGAGAAAACACCTGGTTCGAGAAGGGAAGGCAATAGGGAGAGGGGGATAATTTCTGATGACAGTGGATGGAAGAGAGGTGCTCCTAGATCGGCTAATTTCTTTTGTGTTGGAATGAGGAAAATATGAAGACTAGTATCTAAATATGTGCAGATGTGATGATGGATGCTGACCGGTTATATGTGAAGAATCATGTCATCCATGAGGCATAGCGTCATAGGCCGCACCTCCCCCCCCCACCATCCCAGTGTCCCACCATATCCAGATTCTATTCCCATAGATTCATCCCACTTTACCAGCGGAAGTCTCTCGCCCGCCAATCTCCCCCCCTCTCCTCCTGTAGTGAGTTAGTAAGTACCTTAGTACTTCAATTCTCCTTTCGCCACGTCTTCCGCCTTCGATCTTCTTTCCTTCTAAACTCAGTTCATATCATTCTTCCATCTATCACTTATCACCTTTGACATATCCAGATTCATCTCTCCTGTGTTTGATTAGCTTGTCTGTCTTCCTCACATTACATCACAATGTCTTCCGCTCTCGAACAGCTCAAGGCCACTGGCACCGTAAGTTCAAAGTCAATTATTTCGTGGCCTTTTGCGCCACATCAGGATGGGATCGCTAATCACTAGGTATTTCATCTAAACAGGTTGTTGTCTGTGACTCTGGTGAGTTCTTTCTGTTGTTGCGGATCGATGGCTGCAAGGACATAGGCTAACAGCACAACTCTCTAGGTGACTTTGCCAGTATGTTTTCTACGTCCCAACAATATTGTTCAGAGTTGTATCCGATATTGACTACTCTGCAGCCATTGGCAAGTACAAGCCTCAGGATGCTACTACAAACCCCTCGTTGATCCTGGCTGCTTCCAAGAAGCCCGAGTACGCCAGCCTGATCGACGCTGCCATTGAGAAGGGCAAGAAGGAGGTCCGTCGCTCTGTGAATGGCCGCGTGATATTGATCTGTTACTGACCCTCCCGACAGGGCAAGACTCTTGACGAGCAGGTCGACGCTACCCTCGACAACCTTCTCGTTGAGTTCGGCAAGAAGATTCTCGAGATCATTCCCGGCAAGGTCTCCACCGAGGTCGATGCTCGTTTCTCCTTCGACACCCAGGCTTCCGTCGACAAGGCCCTTCACATCATCAAGGTACGCCGGACTTGACCGAATCAACAGACCACGAAACATAGCTGACTTGCGCAGCTCTACGAGCAACAAGGCATCTCCAAGGATCGTATTCTTATCAAGATCGCCTCCACCTGGGAGGGTATCAAGGCCGCCCACATCCTGCAGTCTCAGCACGGAATCAACTGCAACCTGACCCTCATGTTCTCCCTTGTCCAGGCCATTGCTGCTGCTGAGGCCGGTGCTTTCCTCATCTCCCCCTTCGTCGGCCGTATCCTGGACTGGTACAAGGCTGCGCACAAGCGCGACTACACCGCCGAGGAGGATCCCGGTGTTAAGTCCGTTCAGAGCATTTTCAACTACTACAAGAAGTTTGGCTACAAGACCATCGTCATGGGTGCTTCCTTCCGTAACACCGGTGAGATCACAGAGTTGGCTGGCTGTGACTACCTGACCATCTCGGTATGTTATCCGTCTTCATCATCGCCGGACGAAAACTAACCTAGAGGTGTAGCCTAACCTCCTCGAGGAGCTGTACAACTCGACCGCCTCCGTCCCCAAGAAGCTCGACGCCACCAGCGCCGCCAGCCTGGACATCCCCAAGCGCAGCTACCTCAACAACGAGGCTACCTTCCGCTTCGACTTCAACGAGGAGGCCATGGCCGTCGAGAAACTGCGCGAGGGTATCTCCAAGTTCGCTGCTGATGCCGTCACCCTCAAGGAGCTCCTCAAGCAGAAGATCCAGGCTTAGATTGGGAAACTGTTGATCTGTCCTACTGTTGAAACCTGTTCCTTTTCCTGCTATCGTCTTTCTTTGTTTAAATTGGCGACATTAAAATTGGCCTCGTAGATATGAATGAATCATGAAATGAATTCTCCTAATCATTAAAATGGCATGGCAGATTTCTATTGATATTTATCTTCTGGTACCTTTAGTTGCTATCTAGGTAGGCTTGGTAGAAGGAAATGTTCCGAGCGAATGGGCGGGGGACGCATGCTCGGAAAACAGCTGTTAGAGAGCTGTACCTACGACACCCGAGGTATGCCATTTGGAACTGGGGTGCTTCCTCTTATTCGAGGAGGCGCTGTACTTCTTAGATGTTGTATGTACTTATATCTAAAGCTCATTACGAACGCCATACAAATACCGCTGAGATGCCAGAATTATCCATGCTTTGGTGATTGACAGCTTGTTCTTAGTGAGAGCGTCTACAAATGATCACGGGATTATGGGATTAGTATTGACTGCGAAGTGGCACCGATTTCCGTGGTCTGCCGCTCTCGCTCAGATAGGAAGTATTTGCACTGACAGTCGAGACCGAACGGCTTATGAATCGATCTCTTCACAGAATGATAGTTTGTACAATACAGTACACGCTCCGAAGTAAGGTACCTAGTGAGTTGTCCTAGATCGTCGACTACACGCAGAGTACCTACCTACCTACCTACCTATGGCGCTATGAGAGGTAATCAATGCTCTTTGCAATGATAAGTAATACACAAACAAAACATCATTCCGACCACCCCGCCAGCAAAGGTGGGGAGGGAAGCCATTTCATCGCTTTTGAGAGGCCAACAGCTCCCAAGGGTCCCAATGAGGAGGGGCAGTCGAGGACGGAAAGCAGACGAAATTGGACAGATTGGAAACCTATCGAATTGAATGTTACTGACATACTCCATACTGCTACATCCTGACCTAGGTGTGAGCTAGCTTCCTCATTATTAGTACGTAGTAGTAGAAATTACCCCTCGTCCCAAGGTTTCCCTCTCGATTTCTCCTCCTCGTCCATCTTCCATCGTCATCTCTGCCATCAACTTCCTCGAATCTCTCTTCTAGTCATCTTTTTTACAAGACACAATTTCAACCCGTCAAAATGGTCAAGGCTGGTAGGTGATTTATTTGCTCTTATATTTCCCTTCGTATTTTTCATTGGTTTCTGCCTTTCGATGGGATCCACGATCGACCGTGGCCGGGGACCTTGAGTGAGCACATTTGAGCACCTTGCGATCCAGCCATCGTCAGCTTCCTGGCCTATCATCCGTCGTTGTTGGTTCCCGACTCTGGGGTAAACGAGCATGCTGGCTGCTGTTGATAGATAATGGATGCTGCTATTCGCTCCTTGCTCGCTGCCGATGCTTCCAAGGTTGTTGGCTTGCTCCGGGCTACATGGCTAGTGGGAACCGGGAAGCTATGGACGGGTGCTACCTTATCTGATGCACCAGCATCGATGGAGCTACTGCCATGATCATTGCAGTTTGAGCGATCCGAACGAGCTTCTCCCGTTTTCTGGAAGCTTTTCATAGTTGTGCTGTTCCTACCTTTGCAGGATGACTAACCTCTTTCTCAGTTGCTGTCCTCCGTGGTGACTCTAAGGTCACCGGCACTGTCACCTTCGAGCAGGCCGACGAGAACTCTCTCACCACCGTCTCCTGGAACATCAAGGGCCACGACGCCAACGCTAAGCGTGCCTTCCACGTCCACCAGTTCGGTGACAACACCAACGGCTGCACCTCCGCTGGTCCTCACTGTACGTCTTCTTGCCAGTGGCTTCTATGTAACCCAGAACTGACCGATGCTAGTCAACCCCTTCGGCAAGACCCACGGTGCTCCTGAGGACTCCGAACGCCATGTCGGTGACCTTGGTAACTTTGAGACCGATGCCGAGGGTAACTCCGTCGGCTCCAAGCAGGACAAGCTTATTAAGCTGATTGGTGCCGAGAGCGTTCTGGGCGTAAGTTTTGCGGACTGTGATGCATGGAGTTGACAGTGAGCTGACAACAACGTTAGCGGACCCTGGTCGTTCACGCTGGTACCGATGACCTTGGCAGAGGTGACACCGAGGAGTCCAAGAAGACTGGTAACGCTGGCCCTCGTCCTGCCTGTGGTAAGTGCATCTCAGTCTATAGACACAAAAGCGGATGTACGTTAATCTATTGTCTCGTCCAACAGGTGTCATCGGTATCGCCGCTTAAGCGCAAATCAACCTGGATTAACGTAAAAGGCTTGGATCAGAATCAGGACTTTTTTCAATCATCTTCGGGATGGGAAGGAAAAGCAACAAAAGCGATATTTGTTCAAGTACCAGGAGGAAGAAATGCAGAAAAGGGGTTTTGCTCTTGACTCCCAGCTGTTCAGATCTACTCCGTAGATGCTGGATAGGATTCATGAATTGATGTCCTCTTATAATGAAATATTCGCCTTGAATTTAGCTATGAAATCCACTTGACAATTGAATGAGCCAGGATCTATAAACTATTCACTCATTCCAAAATCTCTTACACTGTTACACACTTAGCCGAATGACACCTATCGCCGCTGGAAACTGCCCCTGGCCAGACTACCTCTTAGCGGCTTCCCCCCACAGAAAGTCAGGTGGCCCCAAACTGGAAGCTCTCCTCACTCCGACCTGATTTCCCCATCAGCCATTGCACATTCTCTCTTGTGTCTTTGCTTTTTCTTACTTCTAAATTGTGTTTATACAAAATCTCTTTGAATCGATTCATTGTTGCTGCAATAATCAGTTTCCCTTTCCCGTCAATCCCTTTATCGTCCCAAGTCTTCTGTGGCTTCCTCAGCATGCCTCTGGAAGCCCGCGTGAAATCTGTCCTGTCGGGCGACACTGTTGTCCTGTCCCATGTCACGAACCCTGGACAGGAACGCACCCTTAGTCTCGCATATGTCTCAGCTCCTAGACTGAGGAGAGAAGGCGATGAGGTGAGTCGGAGAATTTCTGAGATTCAATTGTTGTCCCTCGCTTTGTTGCCGTACAATCCCCATACTCTGGTGTCTGGAAAGGTGGCCTCTACTCCCGCCCATTCCAGCTCCAGCAAACTCAATTGGCACATTTCCGAGTCCACATATTACCGTTCAGAAATGCCTTATGCTCTTTCATTGATTTGCTGTTCTGAATGGCCGCTGACTCTTCTCTAGCCATACGGCTTCCACTCCCGGGAGTTTCTCCGCGAGGTACTCGTGGGTAAAGTAATCCAGTTCCAGGTCCTCTACACAATTCCTACCGGCGCCAAGCGTGACTACGGCACGATCAAGCTCCCCGGCTTTGATGCCTCCCTGCCCGATATCAGTGTGCAAGAAGGATGGACCCGCGTCCGTGAAGAGGCCGGCAAACGTAGCGACGACTCCGAAGAGACACTCGCATATCTTGAGCGACTCCGCGCTCTGGAGGACCACGCCCGTACTGAAGGCAAGGGTGTATGGGCCGGAGCGGATAAGGGTCGTACAGAGACTAGCTATGAAGTCGACGACGCAAAAACTCTGGTTGATGAGTGGAAGGACAAGCACCTCGAGGCCATTGTCGAGAGAGTTTTGAATGGAGACAGGCTAGTATTGCGCCTGCTTTTGTCGCCCGAGGAACATTTGCAGACGGTCGTTGCTGTTGCTGGAGTTCGGGCCCCGGCCGCGAAACGGGTCAATGCTGAGGGCAAGGAGCAGCCTGGTGAACCCTTCGGGGACGAGGCATATCAGTTCGTCGAGACGCGGCTTCTGCAGCGCAAGGTTCAGGTGTCCCTTCTCGGCGTCACTCCCCAGGGACAACTGATCGCCACTGTCCTCCACCCCAATGGCAACATCGCCAAGTTCCTCCTGGAAGCCGGTCTTGCCCGTTGCTTCGATCACCACTCACCGTTGCTTGGAGCCGAAATGGCAGCCTTCCGGCGCGCAGAGAAGGAGGCTAAGGATAACAGGAAAGGCGTGTTCGCTGGACTTGTCGCCACGAAAGGTCCTGCTGGCGGGGCCGCCGATCAGGATTACATTGTCAGCCGAGTGCTGAACGCAGACACTCTGTTCCTCCGCAACAAGGCCGGTCAGGAGAAGAAGATCAGTCTGAGCAGTGTTAGACAGCCCAAGCCGTCCGATCCTAAGCAGGCGCCTTTCCAGGCGGATGCCAAGGAGTTCGTGCGCAAGAGGCTCATTGGTAAACACGTCAAGGTCACAATCAACGGCAAGAAGCCTGCGACTGAGGGTTACGAGGAGAGGGACGTCGCAACAGTGATTCAGGGCAACACCAATATCGCTCTCGCGCTTGTGGAGGCTGGCTATGCTTCGGTCATTCGTCACCGCCAGGACGACGAGGATCGCTCCCCTGACTATGACTCACTGCTCCTCGCCGAGGCGGAAGCTCAGAAGGACGGAAAGGGAATGTGGTCTCCCAAGCCGCCTAAGCCCAAGCAGTACCAGGACTACTCCGAGAGCTTGCAGAAGGCCAAGATGGAAGTTTCGATTCTGCAACGTCAGAAGCGTGTCCCCGCCATTGTGGACTTCGTCAAGTCAGGATCTCGGTTTACCGTTCTTGTGCCCCGGGAGAATGCCAAGTTGACCTTGGTCTTGTCCGGTATTCGTGCACCCCGCTCGGCTCGCAATCCTGGTGAAGCAGGTGAACCGTTCGGCCAGGAAGCCCATGACTTGGCGAACAAGCGCTGCATGCAACGCGATGTCGAGATTGACGTTGAAACCATTGACAAGGTCGGTGGCTTCATCGGCACCCTGTATGTCAACAAGGAGGACTTTGCCAAGGTCCTTCTGGAGGAGGGTCTGGCCACGGTTCATGCCTACTCCGCAGAGCAGTCCGGTCACGCCACCGAGTACTTTGCAGCTGAGATGAAGGCGAAGGAGGCCCGGAAGGGTCTGTGGCACGACTGGGATCCAACCAAGGAGGCTGAGGAAGCTGAAGAGGAACCTGTCAATGGTAGCAACGGCGTTGAAGGTGAGATTACCGAGCGTCGCAAGGACTACCGGGACGTGATGGTCACCTATGTCGACCCCGCATCCGGGAAGGTCAAGATCCAGCAGATTGGCACGGGCACCTCTGCCCTGACCGAGCTGATGAGTGCCTTCCGTTCTTTCCACTTGAACAAGGCCAATGACACCCCGCTTCCTGGCCCACCCAAGGCCGGTGATTTCGTGGCTGCCAAATTCAGTGAGGATGGCGACTGGTACCGTGCCAGAGTGCGTCGCAACGACCGTGAAAAGCAGCAGGCAGAGGTTGTATATATCGACTATGGTAACTCTGAGATCCTCCCATGGTCCCGCCTCCGACCCCTGAGCCAGCCCCAGTTCTCCGTCCAGAAGCTCCGCGCTCAGGCTTCGGACGCCGTGCTCTCCTTCGTGCAGTTCCCCGTCTCCGACGATTACCTCCAGGATGCCGTCAGCTATCTTGAGGAACTGACGTATGGTCGGACATTGGTCGCCAATGTCGACTACGTCGCTTCTGATGGAACGATGCACGTTACCTTGTTGGACCCTTCCGTGTCGAAGAGCCTCGACCAGAGCATCAACGCCGAGATTATCCGTGAGGGTCTAGCCATGGTTCCTCGGAAGTTAAAGGCCTGGGAGCGTGCTGCCAGCGAGACTCTATCTAACCTGCGCAGCGTCGAGGACGAGGCTAAGCACGAGAGACGCGGTATGTGGGAGTATGGAGACCTCACGGAGGACTAAGTGGTGGGCACCGGCAAGGGGAATGCCTTCCAAGCTTCGGACTTGGGGGAATGGATCAATTGTACATCTATGGGCAAGGTAAACTGCATCCATATCTTTGAAAAATTGGCAGTTCTGTTTTGGGCCAGTCATATTCTTCTGTATTTCTTGATGATATCCCTTAGCCTACAGCATAGGATGTCCCTGGAATGGTTCTAATAAGAATAAGCAAAAATGAGGCATTTGATACAGTCATTCGTCCGGTTCTGCCTTCATGACCTTGGTACACGCTTGTCATGCAATTCGTAGTGTTTCTCTTGATCTTATTCTTCGCTGTGATGATTGACTGCATAATGGGATTGGCCATTTTATGCTGACATAATCGCGCTTTATGCAGTGCAGCAAACAACTTCTTTCCGATGACTTCCAACAGGGCAAAAGAACTGCTCTCGGTCCTTAACTGCATCCACTTTTCGCAGCTGGATTTGCGTACTAGCCATCGGTGCATCGCTGGAATTCTACCTTATTTGAAGAATTGCTGACGCAGTGAGGACTAGCAGACCGCCAACATCGCCTTTCTCGGACATCCGGGCTTGCCGCGAAGTAAGACGAAGCGCTGTTTACTCATCAGCAACAAATTCCCCCGCGACCCTTGCTTTCGCTTTCTTGTACCGTGCATCATTATCTAATCAGTCTGGGGTAAAGAAAAAGAGAAATCGAGTGGAGTCTCACTCCCAGCGCGAATCCAGGCACCGACTTTCAGAATGCCTTTGTGGCGTACCAAATCCCACCACAGCCAGGCGGAGAGCGATGCCTCCTCGACGCAACCGGCCGAATTCGGCGAGAACGACCCGGCTGCGTCGGCTTCCCAGGCGGCGGGGACAGCATGGCTCGCTGGCCACCTGAATCACCTCACGCAGGACCAGGAGGAGAAGTTGAAGGAGTTCAAGGCGCTGTGTGAGCGGAATGGGTACTATAAGCCTGAGGGGCAGGGTGAGGGTGGAAAGGCCAGTCATGATGATGCGACTATGCTGTGCGTTTCCCCCTGTTCAAGTCTTCGTCGATTCTAGTGTTGGATCTTTGTGGAGAAATAAATAGCATGCTGAAGGGTGCTATTACGAGCAGGCGGTTTCTGCGCGCGCGCAAGTTCGATGTGAATGGTGCTTGGGGCCAGTTCAAAGATACAGAGGACTGGCGCCGGGATAATGCCATCGAGGAGCTATATGAGAACATTGAAGTGGAGTCGTACGATGCCGCGCGACGGATGGTGAGTTCGGGGAACATTTACGCCCTGTTGCTGCGCTGAGTTCGTTGATGAACAAGTTGCTGACCCTGGTTCGCGGTATGGATACAGTATCCGCAATGGACGGGTCGTCGGGACCGTCGCGGTATTCCCATTTATGTGTTTGAGATCAAGCATCTGAACAGCAAGAACATGGCGGCTTATAATTCCACGATGAATGACCCCGCCTCGACGGCGGAGACGCACCAGTCGTCGACGGTGCCGCAGCGCCTGCTGCGCCTTTTCGCCCTCTATGAGAAC